CCCGCCCTGCCCCTCACGAGCTGGGGTCCCCAGGGGCGGGGCGAGTGTGCGCGCGGGGGGGGGGGGGAGGGAGGGGAGTGGCTGAGGAAGGGGAGTGTGCGCCCGGGTAGGAGAAGAGGGCGTGGGTAGGGCGGTGGGGAGCTGAGAGGATGAGGTGAGTGGTCTGTGATGCAGGTGTACTGAGAGAGGCTTGTGCAAAATGGGAGTGTGCAAAGAGCTGTGTAAAGGTTGGAAGTGAGTAAGAGACTCAAGCAATAAACACTTTTACACAAAAGACAAAAGTATGCAGGGCGTGGGGCTGTGGGAGAGAGGTGTGTCCATGGAATGGAATCGGATTGTCTGAGAAACAAGCATTTGATTGTAATGTGTGAGGGAGGTGCGAGCAAGGGAAATAGCTTTAAAGGGATGACAGTGTCTTTCCTGGTACCCACCTGCCCTCACCTCCACTACACTTAACACCACACAGTTACACATGCTTAGCTCTTTGTTTTTATGGGGGCCTTAACCCTGAGAGCCAGTTCTACCTGGCCCGTTACATTTTTTCCTGCCTTACACTTATATCCTCCCTGTCATCCCCTTGGCAAAGCTGAGGGAAAAGGGATTCCAGAGAAGCCCACTGGGTCAAAAAGGCTGGGAAAACTTAATTATGAAAAAGTAATTAACAGAAGGCAGAGGACAGAGCCAAAGACTGCTAAAATAAGGCTCCTTAATAAAAAGTGATGGGGAGAGACAGTAATGTTTTTATGAAGCATTCAGATGTTTTGGATGGACAAGTGAATGAATCAGAAAAGGGCTGGGACTCAAGCAGACATAGAGTATATGGCTTTTGTTCTAAAGACTGCTGCAGTGGGTTTATGTGAAAGGTGAGATGAGAGCTACTGGTGTAGGAAGGAGTGTAACAAACGTACAGACAGCCTTCCAGAAGGCTCACAAACCAACCAGCCTTAGCAGGGTAGCCAATAAAATATTCACCTCTCCAGCTCCTTAGCCAATTCAGGCCTGCAGGTTTTCTTAGTAGTGTCCCAGCTACCCCTGCCAGCAAGGGCTCAGACTTACAAGTATCAGGATGAAAAAATGAAATACCTACACCAGCATGTCTTCCATTTTGCTCTGAGTCATGATTTACATTTATCTTCAAGTCTGAACTTTTACATTTTTAGCCAGATATAGAAAACAGGATGGAAGAAGTAGTAAACAGGGTAATGAAATGGTTTCAGATTCTACAGCGGGAGGTGTAGCGGCAGAGGTAGAGCAAATGCTTAGAATGCACAAGGCCCTATGTTTGATATCCAGTGCCAAAAATTAAACATTTTAAATGGCTTCAGATTTTAAACGATTTCTCATAAATGAGATAGTAATTCCTTACTCCTACACTTCCAAAGAACTAGAGAATAATAAAGAATTTGGAGCCAATTAGACAAGGGAAACCAGAAAAATCTTCCTTTGTCCACCTAGATGTCTGTGGACAGAATCATTTAGAAACAGCTGTTCTGGAAAGAGATAAGGGCTAAAAAAGCTACACCGTGGGAAAAGAAAGCACAGACCGCCAACGAATCACAAGGCTTGCACAAGTCCACAGGTCATCATACAATGCAGTGGTCTGAGGGGAATGCCTTCCTTCCATCTGACATTACACACATATCATAGAATCTTACTACTAAAAAGAACCTTTAAAATCAAGTATTCCTTCCTGTCTCTTGCTCATCACTAACTTCTCTATCACATGGCATCTGGTCTGTGCTTTAACGCCCCAACGGAGGTTTGGAAGTTGGGAGAAGGGAAGCCATTACCTTCCTGTTGGAATACTGTATTATTTTTCCTACTGTCTCTCTTTTTTTAAAAAAAACAACAACAAGGTCTTGTTATGTAGATCAGGCTGGCCTTGAACTCATGACCCTCCTGCTTCAGCCTCCCAAATGCTGGAAGTACAGGCGTATGACACCATGCCCGGCCTGTCCATTTGTTAATCCTAATTTTGTCCTCACATAGTCATTGTCTACTTTATAAGACCACACTATTGACTAAATCAATATAGATAGATATACTGATAGCCTTTATAGTTAGCCTTATCACTATTTCAAAGGGCTAGTGACTGAGACACCAAAACAAAAACAAACCCCACACAAACTGGAAGCACTTAGTAAAATTCTTTTGAATGAATGAGTGAAACAAAGACACAAATGAGAACATGTTTTCCCATGGCGATGGAGCAAAAAGGTGACAGTACCGCTTCAAGTACCCCTCACCCTCACTGCGACTGCCACCCCAATTCTTCGCTGCCAATATAGAGAAACTGAAAGACAAATAGTGAGACTAGAGATGCGCTCAGGCTCAGCCTTCAACCAGGAGTTGGCAGATGGGTGGCCCGGGTTGCTATGGTACCGCCTTGGGCTCCACCCTTCCTCGCCCCCACTTCCCCCGCCCAGCCAGCGCTGCCTCGTTTGTGGCAGGCAGTCACGTGTCCCACTGCGTAACCACACCTCTGCTCCTCCGAGCGAGGTCCCTCAGTCACGTGTGATAGCAACAGATCACGTGCCCACCAGGGTCCCTCCGCCGCTTCTCTCACTGCCCCCCTCCCTGTCAAAGCCGCTCCGACCTCTCCTCTGCGCATGGGTGGTGGTCACGTGTCCTGAACGTCCGGCGCTCTCCCCACCCTCCCAGTTTCCGCGCGCCTCTCTGGCAGCTGGTCACATGGTGAGGGTGAGGGTGGGGGTGAGGGGGCCTTTCTAGCCTGCGGCTGGTGTCTATGGTCGGGCCGTAAGCGTCCAGCTGCCTCCGGCCGAGCTCTGGTGTATGGCGTCGCAGGAACCTGCTCGGGGGCCCCGATAACGGGCTGCCCCCACAGCTCTTGGCCTGGCGTGAGGTAAGTGCAGTTCCTTCCCTGGAACTAGGGCTAGACCCCGCCCCCCACGGCTTCCCACGCGTGCGCCTCGGGCTGGCTATGGAAGGGTCGCCCAAGGGCGGGAAAAGGGGCCTTTGTAGTGTGGGGAGGTGTAATTTTAGAGACTAGGATATAGAAACTTTGAAGCAAGTCGTTGTGTTATGGGCGATCTCTTTTGTGTGGGTTACAGTGGTTCCAAAGAAAAAAAGCATTTTTTCTTGGAGGACTTATCGTGGCTGGGGTGGGTGGGTAGTAGAGTAATTGTGTCACTTGAGAGGGCAGCCCCTTGAAAGTTGAGAAGGGAGTAGGGTGGTTGCTATGGTGTCTTTGCTGTCTTCTGTGGGAGTCATTTTGTTGCTGCAGGCTCATACTATCCTAACTCTGGAAGGAACTTTTTGGTAGAAGTCTCTGTGATTGTAGGGTCTCCCCTGATCTGAGAATGGCTACCTCTCGATATGAGCCAGTGGCTGAAATTGGTGTGGGTGCCTATGGGACCGTGTACAAGGCCCGTGATCCCCATAGTGGCCACTTCGTGGCCCTCAAGAGTGTGAGAGTCCCCAGTGGAGGAGGAGCTGGAGGAGGCCTACCCATCAGCACAGTACGTGAGGTGGCCTTACTAAGGCGGCTGGAGGCGTTCGAGCATCCCAATGTTGTCCGGTGAGAAGGTGGAGGGTTGGCAGTGGGGGCAAAGGGGAAAAGATAACCTGTAATTGGGCTGTGTGGTTAGGAGAAAAGTGGGGACTCTACCCTGAGGAAATACAGTATAAGAAACCATGTTGGATCAAAGACGATTGACCCGTGAGTGACCATTAATTCTGACCAGCCTGATGGATGTCTGTGCCACTTCCCGAACTGACCGGGAGATCAAGGTGACCCTAGTGTTTGAGCACGTAGATCAAGACCTAAGGACGTATCTGGACAAGGCACCTCCACCAGGCTTGCCAGTTGAAACTATCAAGGTAAGTGGGGTGGTTAGACAGTGAGAAGTGGAATGGGACCTTTGCAGTATAGCTTGGAGTTTCTGGCATGGTGCCTAGTTTCCAGTGAGTCCAGTCCATATGTCTCCCTTCCAAACCAGGATCTGATGCGCCAGTTTCTAAGAGGCCTAGATTTCCTTCATGCCAACTGCATCGTTCACCGAGACCTGAAACCAGAGAACATTTTGGTGACAAGTGGTGGGACAGTCAAGCTGGCTGACTTTGGCCTAGCCAGAATCTACAGCTACCAGATGGCCCTTACACCAGTGGTTAGTGAAAAGATGGTAGCCAAATGGGTTCTGGTTGGGGGTAGGAGAGTAATTGCTCATAGTAGTTGAGAAGTCTTGTGTTTTGTCTTCAATTAAGCAGTTATGATTCATAGTAACCAGGATGGCCCTCATCTACCCTCACTGCTCCCTTTAGGTAGTTACACTCTGGTACCGGGCTCCTGAAGTTCTTCTGCAGTCTACATATGCAACACCTGTGGACATGTGGAGTGTTGGCTGTACCTTTGCAGAGATGTTTCGTCGAAAGTATGGGACCCTAAACCATCTTGAGTCCCCAAATCCCTCTTCTTGAGCTAATCCATACCCTGCCCATTTTCCTTGAGTAATACCCACAGTCAGTTATTTTGGAAAATAACTACTATCTTGTACCCTTTCTCTCCTAGGCCTCTCTTCTGTGGAAACTCTGAAGCTGACCAGTTGGGCAAAATCTTTGAGTAAGTGCCCAAGAAGGGGGGAAAGGAGTCTTCCATTCTGAGTCCTGTTTCTGCTGGGTCCTGGGTAGCAACTGAGTCCAGTCCTTCGGGTGGCATCAGGAGGACCCAACTGACCAGAGTTCTCCTGTCTCCATCACAGCCTCATTGGGCTGCCTCCAGAGGATGACTGGCCTCGAGATGTATCTTTACCCCGAGGAGCCTTTTCCCCCAGAGGGCCTCGCCCAGTGCAGTCAGTGGTACCTGAGATGGAGGAGTCTGGAACACAGCTGCTGCTGGTACTAGGCATGGGCATGGAGAGGGATTGGGGTGGAGAATGGAGAAAGTAGCACATAAGGGCCCAGACCACTGGTTCATGAGACCTGTTTGGTGGATGGGCTGCAGTTTTTACTGCTGCTGTGAATGACCACCCATAGTGATGTAGAAAATAGCCCTTCCCAGGTATCATAGATGTGGGCAGCAGGCTTTTTCCCCCATGGTTTTCTGACCTTTGTCTCTCCCTTTAGGAAATGCTGACATTTAACCCCCACAAGCTGATCTCCCTCCCGAGCTCTGCAGCAGCTGCATAAGGAATAAGGTGACCCAAAGTGAGCAGTGGAGTGGCTGCCACAGAAGGAAGAAAAGCTGCCATTTCCCTTCAGGACACTTGAGTGGAGAGAACCCCCACTGAGAAGGGGACCTCTGTCATTGTCTGAGGCTGTGGCTCTCCTACAACTTTTTACAGAGAATATTTTGCTGCCTTAATGACATTACCCACCCACCCTCCTTTTGAGGCTTATCCTTCTCATGCCCCATTCCTCCACAAGAAGGGGTATATCTTCCCCCATCTTACCTTGATACTGGTCCTTTTTTATACAGGAAAACAAAACAAGACAAAGATGTGGTCTTTTTTCTTTTTTTTAATGTTTCTCTGGCCTTGCAGTTGGGAGATTGGACAAACTACTTAAAAGGAGGAACTTCTCTGCAGAACCTTAAAGACTCTCTAAGTTACACAGGGCCTAGACAGTCAGTGGAGCCCCTTCACTGGTGAAGATTAGAAAGAAACTTAAGATGCTTATTTGATTATGGAGATAAAATGGGTTTTTTATATTCACTGAACTTCCTCAAACTGGGTCCCACATATTGTAAGAGTTCTTGGTAGTTTTCTGGGCTATATTCCTGATTGATCCTTGGAGCCAGGCCAGGTGTGTTGAAGTGGTCCAGCATGTAGAAGGGAAATAGCTATGAATGATTCAAGCCCCTATCCACGAACTCTCAGGAGCTGTCCATATCCACCTGGGAGAGAGGGATGAAATTTTTCTTTCTATTCCCCACAATCTTACTCCCATCAGAATATCTCAAGGCCTAACCCGTCAGTTTTAGGGCATGTGGCAAAGGGCCTTTCCTTTTTCTCAGAAAAGGATATAGACTCCAGGTTTTCCTGAAGGGAGAAATAAAAAGTTGAGAGAGCAGGAAAGTTGAAAGGATCCAAAGTCTCATAGAAAGGCACTTGGGTTAGCTCGAGGATCCTTTTGATTCCGAAATCTCATTGCTAGCCAAACACCAAGGATCTGTAGGGACAAAGGGAAAGAGACAGTGTAAATCAATTTTGAATCTGGGAGGGAGGGTTGACAAAGGGTGTACATGTGGGATCTGGAAAATGTTACCTCTGTAAAGCTAAAGAAGAGTCCGACACCCCCAAGGATTTTCAGGGCTTCATCTGAATGCTTAAGAAATATTTCTCCACACATCTGGCACGTGGAGCTTCTGTTCTTGCAGAGCTGAGAATGAAAAGTGTATAAAGAATGCAAAATTGTTAGCTTCTCCTGTGCAGATAATTACAGTGAATTATCCTTAGAAGTTATTTACTAGTATCTGACCAGTATTCTACAGACTGAAATCTCACTTGGTCAGATCCCCATTATCATCCCTGCTCCCACCAACAGTTATCAGCACAAGAGCTGCTAGAGAAGCAGTGTCATTCAAACTAAATGCCAATTTTGGCATTGTCTTTCACTAGTTTTCTACCTTCCTCTCTGCTGTGCTCTCCCACCTCCCAACTCACTGCATTGCAGGAAGCATCATCTTGGTACTGGGTCGTGAGGTTGAACAAGCCACAACAATCAAAACTTCTTTCCAGTTCATGCCGGGTATTGTTGCCCATGACCCACCAAGAAGCATTGATGAGATCTGTCTAGACACAAGGCAGAGGGAAGTTAACCTCCCTACATCTTGATCTCAGTTCAAGTGCCTGTTTCCTTTACAGCATAGAATTAACATCTCTCAGAAACATGGTATGTTGCAATTATAGACAATGATAAGTCCTGTCTCAGGTTCTTCCTCTAAATCATCTTCATGAAGAATTAGCCATACATCCCAGAGGAAGCAAATGGCTCAAGGCTGGAGTGGACCTAGGGATGATTTGGGGTAGTTAGGACCAGACTAAGAGGGAACTGGCCAGGAGGGGTGGGGGGACAACCAGTATTTAAAAAGGCATCCCCTTACCTGTTTGCTGCGGTTAATAGCCAGGCATGAACAAGAGATTCCAAACTGGAAGATGAAGACCAGACCAAGGATGATCATGTACTGAGCAGGAGAGTTACGGAAAAAAACACCTAGGTTCCTTTATGCTCCATTTAAAATAGTCAACGGGTCTCATATTCATAGCAGTTACACAACCATGTCAAGTTGGGAAAAAATCATTAGCTGTTTGTGGGCTGTGGTGTAGGGCAGGGGGCAATGAGACATGTCCCCAAAGTCCTTTAAGTCCTCTACCCTTTTCATCCTAGTAACTCAGCCCTCTCGAGAGCCCCAGTGCCCTATCACTTCAGGTCAGGATACAAAAAATAGCAGGACTTGGTGATGGTTGACAGCACCCACCAGTCCAGCCACTGCGATGAGGAGAAGGAAGACTCCTACAGCAATGACTCCTCCAATGATGGACACCACACCCAGGCCCTTGCCCCAAGCAGCCACTCCAATGAGCAACAAGCCCACCAGCTACAGGAAACAGAAACAGGATACATCTCAAAGAAGTCTAGCATGCAGCACCGTCAGAGGCTAATACAAAGGAACTTGGGGAAAACGGGGTAACCGATCTGGGTGTAAATGAGGGGGGGTGCGATCAGAACTAGGAATATCCTTGATCAGTCTTCTCAAAGGAAGTCGGACAGGCTGGAATGGGAGGGGGAGCAGGGTCAACAGTCTCCAAACATACAATCGGAACCCTTAGCGTAGTCCTTCGCTTCTATATTGGGAAAAAACTGGTTCATAGAAGTGAGGAATGAGATTTACGCCCCCAGACTTCAGTTCATGTCCCCTAACCCCAGACAAGCCCCCTCATCACCGGAAGTCTCCCCTTTTCCACGGAAGCCGCCAGGAATCCCCTCTTTGCCGGAAGTTCCTAGGAATCTTGCCGGAACCCCCAGTACACCCTTCTCCCTCCCGGAGGTCCCCTGGAGATTCTCCCCATTCTCCATTCCACTCTGAAGCTTCCCCCACCTCCAAAACCTCACCATATAGACCACGTTGAGAGCGCACAGCGCATTCTTGGAGCAGGCAAAGCCACCACAAACCATCTCCCAGCTCTGGGGACCCAACTGGTCCCAAGGACTTGGGGGGAGGGTATTGGGGACCGTCTCCTAAAACCTCGACAGCTTCTGTCTCTTTAAATCAAGGCTGGCCAAACCAATTCTAGGAGTCCGCACCGACCCACCCCTGCTTCTGGATTGGCGAAACTCACAGCTAATCCAGGACGTCAATGGCTTGAATGGCAGTCAATCTGCATTACGTTACGAGCCCGCCTCTCGGCCCTCCCTTACTTTCATCATTGGATGAAATTTTAACTTGGGGGTAGGGTTTCTAGACGTTCTCAGACCGCGCAGAGCCTAAATTTTAGAGTCCCGGATTGAAAAATCGAGCTTTCTACGGTTGGAGTTGAGAGCTAATCCTAGGGAGGAGGCAGTGGAGAAATTCAAGTGGATTAGCCCAACGTGGTGGCGTAATCCCAGCACTTGGGAGGCTGAGGCCAGAGGGTCGAAAGTTCAAGTCCTACCTGGGCAATTTAGCGACCCTCCCCCGCCCAGTCTCAAAGAGTAAAAAAGGCTGGGGATGGAGCTCTCTCTATGAAGGCCCTGGATTGGGCCAGGGATTTAGCTCAGTGGTTCTGCCGCCTGCCTCGCAAGCGGAAGGACCCGAGTTCGATCCCTGGTACCCAAAAAAAAAAAAAAAAAAAAAAAAGGGCCTCAACAGCTGGACAGAAAGGGCTCCACCCCTAGAAGGAGGGCTCTTCCCCGCCTATTCCCCTTGTCCTGCGGTGACCGCATGATGACGATGACGCCATCGCTTGGTTGTTATTGTGTCACACTCGGGAATACCCAAAGGAACCCAATTTTGAGCTCTTTAGCCCGACCACAGAGGCTCTGGGTTGGGCATAGCAACACCCAAAAATCCTCACGTTTGTGTGTCCACCAGTACACATGTTCTGTTCCAGTATGCCAGAAATTCAGTGTGGAATACAGCGGCCTTCAACCGGCAGTCTTTGTGACAAAGCCACAGGTGCGTGCGCGCGCGCGCGCCCACACACACACACACACACACACACACACACACACACACACACACGTGCTCAGCATCTTCAGAGCATTTGTCTGACCTCTAGCTTGCAAAAACTGACCCAAAGGGTCAGAGATATAAACATAAAAAGAAAGAGGAGTCTCTATATTTTCACTCCAGAGGTGGGCATGGTGGTTGGTCAATACTGTAACTGTTTACTGTTGCGTAAGTGCTTTGACAGTCTGCTTTTTTCATGAGAGGGAAAAGGTTTAAACCCTCTCTCTCCTAGGAGAAAGAAGCAGTTTTAGTGGGAACAAAAAAGAAAAACCCTTCACCAACCTCAGAATGATTCAGTTGTGTGTACTTAGATTCTATGGTTGCCTAAGCAGTATAGTCTTACTGCTGGAATCAGACTGCATGGGTTCTAGTTTTGCCTCCTACTAGCTGCAGATACTTAAACTCTCCGTGCCTATTTCATCTGTAAAATCGGGATACATAGTACACTTAACTCTAGCAATACACCTCTAACAACTTCTGGGTTGTTATGATGGGTTATTATGAGGAATAAATGAATTAGCATATGTAGGATGCTTAGAACAGTACTTGGCTCACAGAAATACTCAATGTTAGGTACTACTGTTCAGGCCATCTTACAAATTCCAGTGGATAATCTCAGCCTCATCTCCTTGTCTCCCAACTACATAAATATTCACGTATTTATAATCTCCTGCCTTTCATAAATTACTATCAAGATAGGCAGGAGAAGAGAGCTTTGGCAGAGCTAGAGAGGTTTAAGCCTTGAAACAAAATAATTAAGTCAAGCTACAAGTACTCCCTCCTGATTCTACTCCACAATATCCATTTTCTTCTACCTCATCTACTTTTTTTGCTCTCAGTTTCTAAATTAAGGGCAAGACAGTGGTATTAGGGAGAAGGGGAGCTGGCTGGCAAGCATCTTGGATGTGTGTTTACTGAAAAAGGTATTAAAATTGTGATTGGGCTACACAGTGAGTTCAAGGCCAGCCTGAACTACATAGTGAGACCCTGTCTGAAAAAATAAAAATGTAAAAACTATCAGAAGACCTAGATCCATGTCTTTGTTTCACCAGTTATTGACCTCTCTGTGCCTCAGTTTCTTTTCCTTCATAATGAGGATAAACAATCCTACCCCTTGGACCAGTCACAAAAGTAATATACATGGAAATACATTGTAAATGAGTAAATGTTATATATGTGCTAATTATTATAAAAGCAATGAACATAGAGCATGGTAGTTTATCTGGTTACAGGTTACTTTCCTCCTGTATAACTCATTCTCCTCATAACTAATTGGGCCTTTTAAAGAGGAGGCAGTTGCATCCATTTTATTTCATATTGGGAAAGCATAGGCAGCAACAGGAGAAAAAACTAAATGAAATTTTAGAGAATGAACTAGTACAGCTACCTTTAACAGAGAACATACCTGCAATTAATGAGCTTCTTCACACGCCAGCCCACATGCTGCCCTCAACTTCTTTCCTCTGCTCCATGTTCGTAAATTCCTTGTTGCTGTCTGAAGAGACCAAAAGTGATAAGGAAGTTCCTGATGATGTAGATATGGAAGAAGAAAAGGAAAGTGATGATTCAGATGAAGAAAACAACTTTACAGAACACATCCAGACTACAAATAATGCAGATTTGGAAGAAGACATTATATATCAGTTGTCAAAATCAGAAGAAAAAGAACTGAGGAAATTCAGGAAAGTAGACTAAAGTTGGATTCCCGTGTTTTAGGCCTTGGAGACAGGGTGAGGCTGGGGAGTCTTGCACTTTGTGTTTCTTTTTGATACCAGGGATCGAACTTGGGACCTTGTGCTTGCAAGGCAGATGCCAGAACCACTGAGCTAAATCCTCGGCCCTGCACTTTGTGTTTTTGATTGTTTTGTTTTGTTTTGTTTTGTTTTTTTGGTACCGGGGATCGAACTTGGGTCCTTGCACTTGGGCAGCAGGCAGTGAAACCACTGAGCTAAATCTCCGGCCCGTGTTTTTGATTGTTGATACCCCCAAAATATTTTTTAATGTTATTTCTGTTCTTGAAATATTAAATGTTATAATTGATAATGTAAAATAGGAATAAAAGGTCCAAAGGGGTAGAGGTAGTGGGAGGCACAGGGGAAGGGAAAGAAGGGAAAGGAAAAAATGATGAGAAATGGAAAAAATGGAAATAAAGTCTTTGTAAATAGGGAAGGGTGGAGGGCGTGAAGGGAGGGCTAGGAATGGGGAAAAAATAAGGACCAAGATGCATTATATAAAGGTACAATCCCCAATGAGAAATGTAATTGTGTTGTATACCTACAATGTACCAATAAAAGAATTTAATACAAAAAAAAATATTAAATGTTAAATAAGAACCAAGATACTCATGTAAAGGTACAAGATCCCAATGATGAATGTAACTGTATTTTATATCTAAAATGTACCAATAAACTTAATGGGAAAAAAAATATATTAAATGCTGACAAAAAAACTAGTCATAAAAACAAAAAAGAGGTGGTTGCAGTGGATAGCTAAAGAAGGGTGATAATGCAAGATGTAAGTATGCAGGGCTCAGTGGCATGTGTAGAGTGGTGAGTACAGCTGTACACAATTCAGGGCTGTGAGGTAACAGATCAAGTGTGTGTGGATTCCTGTGTGTTTGAAAGAATGGAAATTTACAGATCTCTCAAGAGTTTGGGATTGTATGTGAGACCTGGCTGGACACATTCTCCCAGAACCAACACCCATCTTAATTAGCCACCTCCTATAGGAGGCCCTGGGACCTTGTGAAGGTCTGTCTCTTCCTCCACCTGGCTAGGGAATCATAGCAGGGCCTGGCAGACAGGGTGGACGGGCCAACGCTAGAGGGGGTGTGAGGTGCAGTAGGTAGTTCTGTCCCAGGCTGTGGGTTTGAAACTCACCAGTCAGGAAGTGAGTCTGACAGACGGAAGGGGGAAGGGCGGGCTGCGGTGGAGAGTTCTGGAGCATAGAGTTCTGGGGCACAGCAGAAGGGCCTTCTGGGGTTTGGGGTCTCTCGGGCCATGGGCTTCAAGGGCAGAAGTTGCTGTTAGTCTGGCAAGACAGGTCTGGGCAACATGCATGCCCAGAGGCAGTTGGCTGTGGCGACAGTGAAAGCAGAAATAAGACGACATGAGGTGGCCAAGCAGGCTCTAAGCCGCCTCAGGAAGCTGGCAGAACAAGTGAGTGACCCTGATCTCCGGGACAGCATCCAGGCCTCACTGGAGAGCATTCAAGGTAAGAGAATGATCAGCCCCCAACTTGGGTGTATTGGGGACCCGCAGGGGTATAGATGGGCTAGCTATGTCATATGTCATTTCTTAGATACTTCCCTAGTCCCTAAGATGGAGCTGGGACTCTGAGGAATAATACATTTGGGGAGGGTAGAAAAAGACATGAGGTATTATTTTTTTCCCCCAACTCTGATCCTTCTCCCAAGAAAACAAAATACAGGTCACTGTTTAGCTGACCTTCTTGGCAACGGAGAAATGGGTGAGCATGGGGAAGACCAGTTGTGACAGACCCATCGTAGACAGGGTCCCTGCCTAGGGAGTCCAGAACAGGAAGCAGTCTGGGGCAGGAGGTTCTGGGACTGGATAATGTGTTCATTCCCAGGCCCCACTAAGGATCAGTGACCTCTTGTTCTGCAGAAAGAAACACACACACACACACACACACACACACACACACGTACCCGGGTGTGCGTGCACATGCCAGAGAGAGAGAGAGAGGGAGAAACAGAGACAGAGAGAGAGACACCATGCAGAGAATCTCAGGCTCCCAGGCACACACAAACATTTAAACATCATGCTCTGCATAACCAAAGTACAGAGAGGTCCCCAGGACTCTCCTTGGTCCTCTCTCCTCCCCATGTTCCTGTTCCTGTCTCCCCCACACACACCTTCCGCTCTACCTCCTTAGTGCCATTAGAGCAAGTGATGACAACACAGGGAGGAAGTGCTGCCATGGCAACACCATCCGCCACATCCTCCTGCCCACCCTAGTCTTCAGTCCTGTTCTGGGGCCCTGGCAAGAATAGTTTCTCTGCATCCAGAAGGCCTACCACTAAGGAACTGGTGGAACTGGATGTCATTTCTAGCTTGCTCTCATTTCATTCAGCTCTGAGGTACCAAAGAACTCGCAAAAGCAGGCCTCTGCACTTGCGGAGAGTGTCTGGTAGAAGCACATCCTCCATCAGATCCTGATCTCTTTCAACCACTTCAGCTGTCTCAATTCCTAGCTGCTTATGGGGGTGGGAGGATAGGGGATGGCTAGGAGAGGATTCTTTCTATCCAGGAGACCTCTTGCAGGCCACCCTGATGGGAGAGGCCTCCAAAGCCTAACTTTCGTGGAAGGAATCATTGGTTTGGGTTCCTAGTAGAACAGTATAATCCCTTCCCCATGCCTCCCTCTTCTCATTGCTCTTCCAAGCATAGTGTCAGCTCCTGTCCCATATTCTTTGATTGGACCTACATCTGCCATCTTCCCTGATAGCCTTAGTAGTTGGAAAGGCAGGCCTAGGGTGAGTGGGCAAGGAGCCTCCTAGGGAAAAACTCTAATCTCCAACTCTGTTAAAAAGAAAGAGAGAGAAAGATTGATTTAGGTCAGGTAAAGAATCTTCCCTTATAGGTGTGTGATGTATGCCTGTAATTCCAGTACTCAGGAGGCTGTGGCAGGAGGATTACCCTGAGTCTGAGGCCAGCTTGGGCTACATAGTGAGTTGAAGGCCAGCCTGAACTACATAGAGAGACCCTGTCAAAAAAAAGCAAACCTTCCTTTTTTGGGGATAAAAGTAGGGAGATGTGGAAAAGCAGGAAGTGAGGTGGGTAGAGGCTGAAAAGACTCCAATCTTTTTTCTCCTGTTGTGGTGGTGATGGAACCCAGGGGTTCCAGGGCCTTCTGCATGGTAGGCAAGTGCTCTACCACTGAACTACACCCCCAGCCCAAGATCCTACTCTTCAGAAGTGATTTGTTCTACTCATTCTCTAAGATTCAGGATTCTGTTCCTGTCAAGGAAACACAGGCCATCAAAGGAAGGAAGATTAAGGCAAAGCCAACAATTCTTCACTATCTCCTTCAAAAGAGACTAGTGAAAAAAAAATTTAAAAAAAAAAGAGACTAGTGAAGGGTCTCCCGTCCTGAGGATGGTGTCCTCCTTGTTCTGCACAGAGTCAGGGAGAAGCTGCTGACCTCCAAGACAGGACCTGGGAGGGATTGGGTACAGGCCTTTGGGAGAACAAAGGGTACCGCCATCCTGGTTCAGCCCCCCACCATCACCCCCCGCCAGGCCGAGCAAGCCAGGGCTCTTGCCTCTAAGAGCCGCCCACGGCAGCACTTATTATAGTCTTGGCTGCGTCAGGAGGATGGGACGTCAAATCAAGGGACAGTGGAGACTCTCCAAATCCTGGGAAGGGGTCTGCAAAGCTGCAAGAGAACTCCTCCCTCCCAGGCCACCCCTTGAAGGTCTCAGCCTCTCTTTTCTATGTGCCTTCTTAGGCTTCTCAGTGAGGCTGAAGGACAGAGATCCTTGAACTCCAAGGCAACTTAGAGGGGTGGGCAACACAGCAACACAGATCAAACGGTGTCCATTGGCTGTGCTTACCTCCTCTTTAACCTTCTAAAAGCACCACCCCCTAAACCTTGGGAGACTGAGTGGAAGCCTAGAAAAGGCCAGCTGCCACTGCCTCAACTGAGAGAATCCTTATTTGGGGTAGCAAAATAGTCTACCAGTGGGGTAACCAAGTGTGAGGGGAGTGCCTTCACTAATCCAACATCGCCTGGCGGGCCCCCACCCACTGTACACGCCGATCTGATCCCTCCTCTGTGCTTATCCCTGCTGCTTCTAAGGCACTCTTGGAGCTCCGGTTGCTATGGAGACTGGATGCATTTTGGTATGGGGAGGGTGTCGATTGGTAGATGTAGTTCTTTTCCCTCCACCTTAAACTGGGACCTTGGACTCACCCGACAGGCTAGGCTCCTGAGCACTCAGATCTCTTCCCTGGGAGGCGCCCCCACCCCATCTCCCGCTAAGTTTCATTTTTGTCCCCTTCCCTGGGGAACACTTTCCAAGTTCACTTTGGGACAGTCGGCTCAAGTCAGAGCCCCCCAAAGCACTAAATGTGGGGGTGTGGATGGGAGAGGGAGCGGGGTGATGAGAAAGTGAACATATCCAGGTACGGCTGGGGAGAGGAGTCCTGGGAAGAGAATTTCAGGGCTCCCTACTTTCCCACTTCAGCTTCCCTAGAACCGGTAGTGACCCCCAGTTTGCTCTGTTTCTGGCGCCTGTCCACCCAGTAGATCGACTTTTAGTTTTATCCCTAAATATCACACCCCACAGTCTCTCCCTAACCTGGCTGCCAAGAGGAAGGGGCTAGGTTGTTGGAGGAGGTGAGTCCGAGTCCCAGAGAATCCAGCCCAGGATTTGGGAGAGAAATCCAGTCCTGGATTTTGTACCGCCCTCGCAGACAGCGGTGCTGGTGTAGGGGGGAGATGGGGGGGCCGGGGGCCGCCTCCTCCTCAATGTGAGGGGAGCGCCCGGACACAGCGCGCATCCGGACCCAGCCGAGCCCGGGCGAGGCCCCGGGACTCTCCGCCAGGATCTCAGGCCCCTCCCCTCCCAGACCCCAGACCCTCGGTTTCCCACTCCCCTCCCCTCCCTCCTTCCTCCCCCGCCACCTCCTGTATCTCCATCCCCAGCATCCTCCCCGCGCCCCTGCGAATCCCCCGCACGGCCAGCCCCGCTAGCTTCCCACCTTCCTCAAGACCCCATCTCCGACCGCATCTGCGGGCCCTGTCCCTTGAGTCCTTGTTCCCCGCCCCTGCCTCTCCCGCATCGGTTCTTCTCCCTCAGCCTCTGGTCCCCCTTTCTGGCCCTTTTCCTCCGTCTCCCCCATTTGCCTCCCACTACTGTCCTCCCCGCCCTCCTCCGCCCATCTCGGCGCCCCCACCCAGGCAGGGGTGCATGGTCCGGCGCGCCTTCCTGGAACAGCACCAAGGTCCCGGGGCTCCAAGGGGGTGGGGGCGCAGGGCGGGGAGCATGGGGAGGGGGCGCCCCATGTGATGGGAGGGGGGCGCAAGCGGAGGCGGCGGAGGCGGCGGCGACAGCGGAGCCGGGCCGGGGGCTCAGCGGGGTCCGGGGACTGGGGGCGGCGAGCAGGGCGGTTCCATGGCCGGGCCCCCCTGAAGCAGTCCGGGGGAGTCCCCTCCCCTCCCCAGCTTGGGGCTCTCCGGGCCTCATGAGCCGGGGCGCGGGCGCGCTTCAGCGCCGGACAACGACCTACCTCATCTCGCTGACCCTGGTCAAGCTCGAGTCGGTCCCTCCGCCGCCACCTTCTCCGTCTGCAGCCGCGGCCGGCGCCCTAGGGGCCAGAGGCACAGAGCCTGGGGATCCGGGCAGTCCCCGCGGCGCGGAGGAGCCGGGCAAGAAGCGGCACGAGCGCCTCTTCCACCGGCAGGATGCGCTGTGGATCAGCACGAGCAGCGCGGGTGCTGGGGGCGCGGAGCCCCCAGCCCTGTCCCCAGCTCCGGCCAGCCCAGCCCGCCCCGTGTCCCCCGCTCCCGGCCGCCGCCTGTCCCTCTGGGCCGCCCCTCCCGGACCCCCGCTCTCAGGGGGGCTGAGCCCGGACCCCAAGCCTGGGGGCGCCCCCACCTCTTCCCGGCGCCCTCTACTAAGCAGCCCAAGCTGGGGGGGCCCGGAGCCCGAAGGCCGGCTAGGCGGCGGTGTCCCCGGCTCATCTTCCCCGCACCCTGGCACTGGCAGCCGGAGGCTCAAGGTGGCGCCTCCTCCGCCGGCTCCCAAGCCTTGCAAGACCGTGACCACGAGTGGAGCCAAAGCCGGCGGGGGCAAGGGCGCGGGCAGCCGCCTGTCGTGGCCCGAAAGCGAGGGCAAGCCCAGGGTCAAGGGGTCAAAGAGCAGCGCCGGAACTGGAGCTTCTGCCGCCACGGCCGCCGCCGCCGCCGGGCCAGGGGGCGCTGCAGCCACGACCTCTGGTGGGGTCGGGGCTGGGGCTGGAGCCCGAGGGAAGCTGTCCCCTCGGAAAGGCAAGAGTAAGACCTTGGACAACAGTGACTTGCACCCAGGACCGCCTGCTGGCTCTCCTCCTCCACTAACCATCCCAGCCACCCCGGGTCCAGCCGCTGCTGTCGCCGCCGCCTCCGCGCAGCCCCCGGGGCCTGCACCACCAATCACTCTGGAGCCTCCAGCTCCGGGTCTCAAACGGGGCCGGGAGGGGGGCCGAGCATCCACTCGTGACCGCAAGATGCTCAAGTTTATCAGCGGTATCTTCACCAAGAGCACAGGGGGGCCGCCTGGCTCCGGGCCCCCTTCCGGACCCTCAGGCCTGTCTTCTGGCAGCGGGTCCAGGGAGCTGCTGGGCGCAGAGCTCCGCGCCTCCCCTAGTGAGTAGGGTCAGGGCCTGGTAGTGGAGATGGGAGGGCGCCTGGAATGCTCAGTTCGGGGTAGGGGGCGACGTTCGGAAAACTAGGAAAGCTTTTCCGTTGGGTGGGCGGGCGAGTCAGGCTCGCTCCACTGCCAAGGACTGAGCCAAAGAGTGCGAGGTTTTGAAGAGGGACGAGCAGCTGCACTGTCCGACGTGCAAGGTGACTTGATTTTGGAGCCTCCGAGCTTTCTGGGAAATGATGCCCTTGGTCAGAGTGATTATAGGAAATTGCTATCAGAGAAATCTAGAGAGACATTGACGGAGAAGCCTCAGTTTCCCCTGCGCACTTGGGGCAGGTGGCGTGACAGTGACCTTGCAGGTAATTGCTCGCCACGGACAGGTCTTCTCCCGGGCTGGGAGCAGGACAGTGGTGTTCTCCTGGCGACGGAGGCAGATTGGGGAGGCCCGCGGGTGTGCGGGGGCTGGAACGTACTGAATATTTAAATGAGAAGCGAGAGGGGCGGGTAGGAAGCCTTGCAGCCCCGCGGCCCGCCCCCTCCCCACAGCGGAGTCCGCACCCGCCAGGGGTTGACCCCGAGTGAGTCGGGGGCGGAACTGCTGCAAAGACAATTCTTACCCCAGAAGGCTTGGGAGGCGGTTCGGGGAAGGTAGTGTTTTGTATATTTATTTCCCAGGAGTGTCTTTATTACTATTTTTTAACTGGGGGAGACAGGTGGGGGACTTGGCTGGGCTCACACTCCCTGGAGGGGAGGCGGGTTTGGAAGCGGGGGCGGCCCCCGGGGCTTGGCTCTGGAGCGGGTGGGAGCAGATGGTTCCGGATCCCAGAGTTCCCGCGGCAGTTGCGGCGTCCCGGGAACGTCCGGCCAGTGTCAGTGGTGGGGGCTGCACCCGGCCTACAGAAGAAACCTCCTCAACACCCCCCCCCGCCCCGCCCGGGCCCGTGGCTTCTCTGGGCCTGAGGACACAGCCCTGACCCGGAGGAGCTTGTGGGGATGCTGTGGAAGAGTGAAGCTAAGAAAAAATCCCTTGGGCTGTGAAGAGAAGTCAGTGCCACTGTGCCATTAACCTTGAAAAAGGGAGGGAAAGCCTTCACCTCAGTTTCTCTCCAGTGAAATGGGGGTTCAGGAAGACCCACACTTTCTGTCCCAGTACTTCCTCCCACATCTGCCGAGGGAATCTGGAGTCTCGTTCCAGAGAGAAGAACTCACCACTGTTAGAACACTACTCTCTCAGTCTGGGGCAAGGACCCACGTTTGGGGATGTGTTTTAAGGGAGATGCCAACTGAAGTATTTTTGTCTTGCTAGCTCTGTTGCTAAGCAACCACTGAGCGGCAGCGGCAGCTGTGGGGAGAGCGGCTGGGATGGGAGGACTAGGGATCACTCTGAGACCTATCTGTTCCACACACCTCACTGTGAAGGCAGGGTCCTGGGGTTCAGGGAGCTGCAAAGAAAGGAGGACTCTAGGGTCCTCTAGGCTGAGGGTCTGGAGTCCTGCTGCACAGGAGCCACCCCTCTTACTGCCCCTCTCCCATTGCAGAGGCCGTGGTCAATAGCCAGGAATGGACTTTGAGCCGCTCCATTCCTGAACTGCGCCTGGTAGGTAAACCCAGGCCCCTGGCCTGCAGGGAAGACTGACTTCCCCTCACTGCACTCTCCACTCCTTTCACCTGCTGTCTTTTTTTTTTTTTTTTTTTGGTACCGGGGATCGAACTCGGGACCTTGCACTTTCAAGGCAGGCAGCAGAACCACTGAGCTAAATGCCCGCCCCTCACCTGCTGTCTTTCTGTGAGGGCAGCGCTAGTTTTCCAGTTCTCCTGAGAGACTGCCTTTATTGCCCTATTGCGAGGCTTGATCCATCTGCACAACTTTTCCTTCTCTAGTCTTTATGCTTTTTTCTCTGCTAGTCTAGGGCTCTCTTTCAGGCTTTTCATTTGTGGCCTCTGGCCTTTGGCCCTTCATGTTCTCTTCCCTAGAATAGAGTAACACTTTCCAACTAGCACATGGGCATGAGTTGCCATACACACACACACACACGCACGCATGCACGCACGTGCGCTCACACACACCCATACACACACAAGCTGGTCCTGAGGTCCTGACTTTCTTTACCTTGTGGTTCATTTCAAGCTCAGGACCATTTTTTACCACGCTTCCACCCAGTTGCTTTCTCCTGACTGCCTGTCATCCAGGCCCTGTAGGATCTGCTTGGGTGAATTAACACTGCCAGTCCCTTCGAGTTCTCTGACTTGGGCAGATCCAAGCATCTTTCCCCTTCTTAATTTTATCTCTGCTCTTCAACCTTGCCTTCAGGGTGTTTTGGGTGACACCAGGAGTGGGAAGTCATCACTCATCCACCGGTTCCTGACTGGCTCCTACCAGGTGCTGGAGAAGTCCGAGAGTGAGTTCTCAGGAGCCACAGTAAGCTAAGGATTGGGGCTGGGGCTCCAGTAAGACCAGTGACTGGGAAGGTATGGAGACTAGGGTGAAGGAGGAAGCCACAATAGTTAGAGTACAGGGAACTTGGAAAAGTTTGGTGACCTGTCACCCCTGACCTGTTCATCCTCAACTGTTCTGGACAGGTGAGCAGTACAAGAAAGAGATGTTGGTGGAGGGGCAGACTCATCTGGTGCTGATCCGAGAGGAAGCTGGGGCCCCTGATGCCAAGGTGAGGGGTGGAGGAAGTGGGGTGGGTAGGCTGGCTGGGGATAGTATTGGACAAGGGAGAGGGCTCTGGCTTCCCAGGTCTCCTTCTGCATAACGTTCAAAGGAATGGACCTGTCTGACCCTCCATTTGCCTTCCCAACCCCCGCAAGTTCTCAGGCTGGGCAGATGCTGTGATCTTCGTCTTCAGCCTGGAGGATGAGAACAGTTTCCAGGCTGTGAGCCATCTTCATGGGCAGCTGAGCTCCCTTCGGGGGGAAGGGCGAGGAGGCTTGGCCCTGGCACTGGTGGGGACACAAGGTAAGGAGAGGTTGAGGAAGCACTGCTTCTACGGGAGCCCTAGCTACCACTAGGGTATTGCCCAACATGGGTGTGAACTTGGTAAGGTGTGGAAATGGCTACTTGGATTTCAGTAGCCCTCTAGAGGGAGCCTGATCTCCAGATAAGGTAGTCATAAAGTCAAACACAGATTTCCCAAGGTCTGAGCAGAGAAAAGAGGACTACTAAGGAGTAGTCATAGTACATAGACCATCATAGTAGCCACCTCCATTTTTCTCCTGAGATGTTACCTACCTTGTGTTCTCACACTGCCATTTCCTGATGGAACTACAAGACATACAGCAAATCTTTAGTAAGGATAGGAGTCTTTCCATTTTCTCCTTCCTACAGCTGGGTCATGCTGATACCTTTTAAAAGAACTTATCTGAAAACAAAGGAAATGCTGGAGGAAACAAGAGTCCAGAAAGCCTTTTAGTTCTCAAAGAAGTGACTTAAAAGCTCTCAGGGGCCAGGGATTTAGCTCAGTAGTTTCACTGCCTGCTGTGCAAGCGCAAGGACCTGAGTTCGAGCCCCAGTACCAAAAAAAGGCTTTGGGCCGGGGATTTAGCTCAGTGGTTCCACCGGCTACCTTGCAAGCCCAAGGTCCCAAGTTCAATCCCCGGTACCAAACAAAACAAAAACAAAAACAAAAAAGCTCTCAGACTCTCTACCAGAGCAGGAAGAGCTTTTCTTTCCAATGCCACTTGTGCCAGGCTAGCAGGACTTTCTGTGTGGATGCCGGTCCTGCAAGTGCTAGCTTCCATCTGTTTCTTGCGTCCTGGTTTCTCACTGGAGAGTGAATGATCTACCTGTCACCCATGGGCATCCAGCCTTGTCCTAGTTCACATGCCTGGTGTCCTCTCACTCAGGGAAGGGGTCAGTTGAGTTGCAGGGCAGAGTGATTATCACTTGTGAATCTTGGCCACTTCAAACCTTGTCGGGAAGCTCCATTCACCTTGGAGTATTCTTTTTTTGGTATCAGGGATCGAACTCGGGACCTTGTGCTTGTGAGGCAGGTGGCAGAACCACTGAGCTAAATCCCCAGCCCACCTTGGAGTATTCTTTGAACATACACATACACGCATACACAGATCTCACCCAGGCTCCTTACACAAAGCTGGGTTTGTCAGCTGGGCCTAGAACTCACAGGCTTATACACTTCATTTCACTTACAGACTGACTAACTCCCACACCCCACCTCCAGTGTGCACAGCCTGAACCTGAGCACAAGGGAAAGGGAATCATGAACAGTGGGGAAAGGGCCTCTCATCCAATCCTGCCCCTTTCCTGTTCTCAGACAGAATCAGTGCTTCCTCCCCTCGGGTAGTGGGCGATGCTCGTGCCAGGGCTCTGTGTGCAGACATGAAACGCTGCAGCTACTATGAGACTTGTGCAACCTATGGGCTCAATGTGGATCGGGTCTTCCAGGAGGGTAAGTGTGGCTATATCAGCATATGTGGGAATCTGGGAGCTATGAGCCTGAAATATTCTAGAGGCCTAGCATCCAGACTTCTGAGGGAGTGAGGACAGATCAGGGAGGCCAGAGAGGGTTTGCTTAATAGTCACACGGTCTTTCTGGGCTCCAGGAGCTGGCGAGCCCACAGGTGGCATGGTGACCAGTGATAAGAAAGCTGGGGGTTATGTTATCTCCTGGGGGGTCTCTCAAAGCCCAGCATGGACAGGCAGTCTTGGGCATCTGCCCTGCTCACGCCTCCTCCTCTCCCCCTCCACTCAGTGGCCCAGAAGGTGGTGACCTTGCGCAAACAGCAACAGCTTCTGGCTGCCTGCAAGTCCCTGCCCAGCTCTCCAAGCCACTCAGCTGCCTCCACCCCTGTAGCTGGGCAGGTGAGTTGATGTTTCAGAGATAGAAGTGGGGGGCTGGGGGTCCAAGTGCAGGTACAGAATACTAAAGGATGTTGGAGGAGCTGGGAACAGGTGGAAATGGCAGATACCTTTTTAGAAAGTGCATTGGGCTGAAAATCAACTAGGTTTGAGGTGCCATTTGCAATGTCCTTGAACAAGTCACCTAACCCTCCAAGGTTATTTGAAAGATTGTATGGCATAAGGGCCAGGGATTTAGCTCAGTGGTTCCACCACCTGCCTCACAAGCACAAGGTCTTAAGTTTGATCCCTGGTACCAAAAAAAAAAAAAAAGAAAGAAAGATTGTATGGCATAATACTTGTAAAGTCAGTCTATGCAAAACTGAAAGCATGCTAAACAATGCTAGTCAGAATTTTCAATATGGATCATAATATCAATGAATAGTGATGAGATCAGGAAATGTCTCCAATTCCCCATAACTGGATGTAAGGATGGCTTGGTGGAGGTGGGGTATCACAACTTTTTGACTCTTCCTTATACCCAGGCTAGTAATGGGGGCCACACTAGCGACTACTCTTCTTCCCTTCCATCCTCCCCCAACGTTGGTCATCGGGAGCTCCGAGCTGAGGTGGCTGCAGTGGCTGGATTGAGCACCCCAGGGTCCCTGCACCGGGCAGCCAAACGCAGGACCAGCCTCTTTGCGGTATTAAACATCCCTACCCTTTTGTCCTCTGTTACCTCCCCATCTTCCCTAGTTCATAGTTCCCTCTATGGGCCCTTCTTCATTTGTCTTCCCTGTTCTTCTCTCTGTCCTTCTACTGATCCCAATAATCATTCTAGAATCGTCGGGGTAGTGACTCTGAGAAGCGAAGCTTGGATAGTCGGGGGGAGACAACAGGGAGTGGGCGAGCCATCCCTATCAAACAGGTAAGTGGTCCAAGGCCCAGGGAAAGCTGGGGTCAGCTAGTCTTAGCTGGGTTTTCTCTCACATGTGTCTTTCCAAATTCTAGAGCTTCCTACTAAAACGAAGTGGCAATTCCTTGAACAAGGAATGGAAGAAGAAATATGTGACCCTCTCCAGTAATGGTTTCCTACTGTACCACCCCAGCATTAATGTGAGTGCCAGAAAGTGGGCCTCACTGGCCAATCTTGGATGCCCTTCCTACTCCACCTTATACCTCTGACAAGCATGAATATCATTTCTGGGAAGCTCTAGTCCTGTTCGCCTAAGTTTAGCAACCATGTTAAGAGCCCACCATTTGCCCATGCTGGGGATGTGAAGGTGATTTCATCTTCCCAGGAACTTAAGTCTAGTGAGAGAGCACCCAGGAAGGGACTGGCTCTGGCCTGCAATTCAGGGCTGCTTTCTGGAGCAGATAATGCTAGGCTAAGTTTGATGGGTCTGTTCCCTAGAAGCTCATCCCAGCCCAGTCAGCACTCAGAGCCCCACCCCATACTATTTACTACTTCCAGCAGCCTCAGAGACCCCAGCCTCCTGTACAGTCTCAACTCCTGTACCCCTCCAGGATTACATCCATAGTACCCATGGCAAGGAGATGGACTTGCTACGAACAACAGTCAAAGTCCCAGGCAAGAGGCCCCCAAGAGCCATTTCTGCCTTTGGCCCTTCAGCCAGCATCAATGGGCTGGTCAAGGACATGAGCACGGTCCAGATGGGTGAAGGCCCTGGTGAGTAAGGCTCACGACAAAGGGGCAAGAGAGGAGCCAGGGCTGGAGAAAAGGGTGGAGAAGGAGGGAAGTGGGGCTGGCACTGGACAAGTGGGAAGGTGGGTGATAAAAAGGGAACGCATAAGGGAGAGGGCCAAGGGACAGAGAGGTTCACTGGGGTTTCGTCTTCTTCCTCTTCTGACAGAAGCCACTATTCCCACACCAAGCCCCAGTCCCAGCCCCAGTTCCTTGCAGCCACCACCAGACCAGACATCGAAGCACCTGCTGAAGCCAGACAGGAATTTGGCTCGAGCCCTCAGCACTGGTCAGTGGGATTACCCTCCATCCACTGTTTTCCAGATACAATGGGATGTTGGGGGCTGGGGATGTGGCTCAGTGGTAGGGCGCTTGCCTAGCTTGTGCAAAGCCCTAGGTTCAATCTGTAGTGCCAAAAAAAGAAAAGGAGAGAGAGAGAGAACTACAAATGGGATGTGGGTGGGAAGTGAAATCAGGGTGGAAGCTTAGAGCTGGAATACATGCAGGAGTGAACACACGGAGTGTCTGCTGGGTGCCCGGCACCAAGCCCAAACATACTGTGTCTATCATGGTAGTTAAGACAAGTGGGCTCTAGAGCCAAGCTGCCTGAGCAGTCCCAGCTTGCTACGTGGGCAAGTTACTTGACCTCTCTTTGCCTCGGTTTTCTCATCGATAAAATGGAGACAGTTTTTACCTCACAGGATTACTTCAAGGTTTAAACAAACCGAGAATATTGTCCAGCATATTGTCAGCCATCAGTGTTTGGAATGTTTGGAAATGTAGCATAGTATAATAGCAAGTAGCATTGTAATATCACAACAACCTTATCAGGTCAAGATTATTATCCCCCATTTTAGGGATGAAGAAACTGAGGCTCAGAAGACTAAGTGACTTGCTCAAGGTCTGAAAGCCAGTAAGTGGGAGAGCCTAGATCTGAGTGCAGGTCTGACTCTAAACCACTCATCTACCCCACCTCCCACCTCCCCAAGGATGATCCAGGGGGACCTCCTGGAGCTGGACAGCTAAGGAGGGACATCCTAAAATGCCAAAGCTAGTTCAGGGGAAGAGACAGGCTATCAAGAAATCAGGAAATCTGTGGAGGGCACTACTGAGGCAGTTGTGTCTCTCTCCCTAAGACTGTACCCCATCTGGAGACCTGAGCCCCCTGAGTCGGGAACCTCCTCCTTCTCCCATGGTGAAGAAGCAGAGGAGAAAAAAATTAACGACACCATCTAAGACTGAAGGTGCAGCTGTGCAGGCTGAAGGTGAGACTCTGGTGGGCAGTTCCACTCCCGACCTGGACCCTCACCTAATGTCAGGTCCCTGGGCTAACTCCTGCAGCAGGAGGAAATGCCTGAGCTGAGTGCTTGGCTATCATTACCGCTGCACACACGTTAGTGGAAAAATGACACCAGTAAAACTGTAGCTTCTGCTCCCTCCTGATGACTCTCTAGTTCCTGTTCCTGCCCTTATCTCCACTTATGACCCCAGTCCTTGCACCCCTGTCCCTGGTGACTCAGTCCACAGACACCCTGACTTTTGGACTTTGGCCGCCCATCTCCTTCTCCCAATAACTCTCAGTGATCGCCAGGTTTCCCAACAATCCTTGAACATAGTAATCTCCATTTCCGTTTCCCAGTGACCTTCCCAGGCTCCAGTGACTCCTCCGGAGCCCCAGGGCCCTCTCATCGCAGCCCCCACCCAGCTCCGGTCCCCTTCCCCCATGTTCACTCAGATCCAGACCCTCTCTCTCCTTGCGGAGACTGGGCTTCTCTCTGGTTGTGATAACCCCATGCCCCTGCTCTCTGCCGGGTGCTCAGACCCGGGTTCCAGATCTGCCTACTCTCATGGCTCTTGGCTTCCGCTCCACTCTGCTCCAGGGCCACTGACTTTAGTTCTGCTTTCTCTCCCCATCTGTCTGTCTTGCTTTGTCTCTGGCACTCTCTGTCACTCTCTCTCTCCATCCCTCCATCTGCCTTTTTCTCCTCCTTTCTTGGTCTCTCTGTTTTGCTCTCCATTCTATCTCTATCTTCTTTGCTTCGGGAAACCAGCCAAGCGCAAAATGTGGAAACTAAAATCCTTTGGTAGTTTAAGAAATATTTATAAAGCAGGTAACAAGTGGGGAGCTGGGAAGGGCGCTCAGCTGGGGTGCAGAGGGGTGGGGGGTGCCCCGCCTCTCCCTGCATGTGCTCGGGCTTCCTGCTCTCCCTCACCCTCTGCTTCCCCTCCCCCTACTGCCCCATTCCCAGGGGCTCGGGATGGACATCAGGGAGGAAGGGTTTGGGGAAGGTGGCCGGTGCTTGAACTTTGTGCCTCATGACCCAACCCCATCCCATCCCCCCACCCAGAGGAAAACTTTGAGTTCCTGATCGTATCCAGCACTGGTCAGACATGGCACTTTGAGGCAGCCAGCTTCGAGGAGCGGGATGCCTGGGTCCAGGCCATCGAGAGTCAGATCCTAGCTAGTCTGCAGTGCTGTGAGAGCAGCAAGGTCAAGGTAATGGTTTGGGGGCGGGGCTGAGTGGGTGGGAAGAGAGCTGCGGTGTCTTAAGAAGAGGAGGAGGGAGCTGTTCTGAGAGCAGCCAGGACTGACTTCAACCCCCCTCTGCAGCTGCGTACAGATAGCCAGAGTGAAGCCGTGGCCATCCAGGCGATCCGGAACGCCAAGGGAAACTCTATCTGCGTGGACTGCGGGGCCCCCAGTAAGTGCAAGAGGGCAGGAAAAGGGCATGGGAGATGGCACCTCTGGCTAGGAAGTGTGGCTTGCTGGAGTCGGTGAATAAGAGGTTGTCTGTCCACACCGCCCAATTGGGAACTGACTTTCGCACTCCGTCCCCAGACCCAACGTGGGCCAGCTTGAACCTGGGCGCACTCATCTGCATCGAGTGTTCTGGCATCCACCGGAATCTGGGCACACACCTGTCCCGCGTTCGCTCACTCGACTTGGACGACTGGCCGAGGGAGCTGACCCTGGTGCTGACGGCCATTGGCAACGACATGGCCAACCGCGTGTGGGAGAGTGACACTCGGGGCCGCCCCAAGCCCACGAAGGACTCTTCCAGGTAGTATGAAGGAACATATCAGGGGACGTGCAGCTCCTAAGAGGGCTTGCGGGTTGGAGGCCGGGTCCCTAGACCCCTTTTAGTTGGTTCCTTGTCTTTCAGGGAGGAGCGGGAATCGTGGATTCGCGCCAAGTACGAGCAGCTGCTATTCCTGGCGCCGCTGGGCACTACGGAGGAGCCCTTGGGTCGCCAGCTGTGGGCCGCCGTGCAGGCCCAGGACGTGGCCGCTGTGCTCCTGCTCCTGGCCCACGCGCGACACGGGCCGCTCGACACCAGCGGGGAAGACCCGCAACTCCGCTCCCCACTCCACCTGGCGGCCGAGCTGGCCCACGTCGTCATCACGCAGCTACTGTTGTGGGTACGCGAGAGGGCGTGGTATTTCCAGAGGGACTCTGGCGGTGGGGTTGGAAGTCTTGCGGAGGTGGCGTGTGCGTGTGGCCTCCTCGGGGACGCGCGGTCACGCAGCCCTCTCGCCTTCTAGTATGGAGCAGATGTGGCGGCCCGCGACGCACAGGGCCGCACGGCGCTGTTCTACGCGCGCCAGGCTGGAAGCCAGCTGTGTGCCGACATCCTCCTCCAGCACGGCTGCCCGGGCGAGGGCGGCAGCGCTGCCACCACACCCAGCGCAGCCACCACGCCCAGCATCACTGCCACGCCCAGCCCACGCCGCCGGAGCAGCGCCGCCAGTGTGGGTCGCGCCGACGCCCCGGTCGCGCTGGTATAGTTGCCCAGCAGCGGGAGAGACACCCCCACCCCGCGCGGGCCGGGCACGACCACATGGGTGGACCGCCGGACAGATGCACTCACTCACTTCTCCGATGCGCACCCCGCCCCACGGGAGCACTTCCTACCCTCACGCGAGCACAGACCCCACGCCTCCCCCGAAGACACAAACTCACCTCCCTCTCCCCAACGAGGCACGGAGATCCCGTTCGAAACGCCCCCTCTCCACTGTTTCCACACTCGGACTGCTCTGGGTCTACCGCCCGGTATTTGCAGAAGGGACGCCCCCGCCTTGGTACGGGCTCCTTGGCTCATGGACTTGCCCGCTCGCGCCCCTAGAGGCGGGAAAAAGACCCAGTCCTGCCTTTGCTCGACTGTCGCACGGCGGGAGCCCAAACCCAGGCTGGCTCCTGGGGCGACGCCACGCCAGAGGGAGGGGTTGGTATGTGGAGGGCTAGCCCTTGTACTTGGGGCCAGTACGGGGACCCCCACCCCTTCCACGCTGATCTCACTGCCCAATGAAGGGGTGAAGGGCAGCAAGGGGCAGGACCCCTGCTGCCCATGGAGGTGGGGGGCAACACTAACCCTTTCCGTGAAAGGGGCGAAGAGTAGTGGAAATCAGGAGGCTCCCCTACACCTACCCATGGATGGAAGCTAAAGGACCAGGGGGAGCCAAGAGCCTGGGTCCCTCCTCTACAATCTCGGGAGAGGGAGGGATGAAGCAAGAGCAGGCTAAAGGGGTTGGGAAGGGCCTTGTAATTTATTGCTTTGTTCCCCAACATGGGGGTGGGGTGGGCAGGGCGTGGGGAGGGTGTTTTGGGATAGGGGAAGCCAAGGGTGGGCAGGGGGTGGGGTGGGGTGGGGGTGCTCTCGGGTTGTGTCTGTGCCTGTGACTGCGTACCTGTGACTGTGCAGCGCCCGTGGTGATCTGGGGTAGGGGGCACCCCTACAATGGGACCCCTCCCCCATTATTTCTTTCTGTCCAGCCCCTCCCTCCCACTGGAGCAGCTCCAGACCCTTCCTGCAACCTCATGCTCCCTCCAGCCCGTGCTGAGAGGGTGTGCAGTGGCTGTGTTTTCCAGGCCCCGTTTCCCAAAAGGGGGTGGTGGGGTGGACTTACCTGGCCTAGCTGTGCCTCCCTCAACCAACCCAGCCCTTGGGCTGTCTGTGTCAGTGGTTTCCGGTCTCCCCCCCTCTAAAATATTTTACAAAAGACCAGGTAATTGGGGAGGGAAGTAGGGTAGGGCAGGGGGGATGCCCCCTCATTTCCTCAGAGGCAGGTGGTGTGAATCTTCAACAGCAATTAAAGAGGAAGTGATTTTGTCTAGGAGATGAGCCGCTGGTCTGTTCTTGAAGAGGCAGGTCAGTGAATGGCCTTGGTCGAGGTGGGAATTGGAGGTGCCCATGGGCATGGTGGTGATTCCATCTTGTACAAGAGTCCTGAGTTCATATGATGGACATAGATGGACAGGTGGGAGCATATATGAGGATCCTGGGAGCAGAGAAGTCTACTCCGGTTCTGGGAGTAGGGTGTGGTATTTAAAGGAGTGGAAACACCTGTGGGGCCAGGGTGAGATGAGGTCACTCTGGTTAAGAACAGAAACATCTGATTTTGAAACCTGGCCCTCTACTCCCTAGCTAGAGACCTTGGGCACTTGCCCTCAGTGGCATCTGTTTACTTATAATCCCCACATTATCTGCTTAGAGGGTATCTGGTAGGTGCTCCAGCCCCAGGGAGGGTTGCTCTAAGCCAGTTTACTCCCTTTGAGCACCAGGTACCAGAAAAGAGGTAACTACAGTAGAGTTCCTTCCTTTGGGCCTGGTTGGGTGCTGAGTAGGGTAGGGGTGGACGATCTCCCAGAGAACCTTCTCAGCTGGCTGCAGGTCCCTGATGTTCACAAGCTCTATGCCAGCTCATCTCTTTGTCATCACCCTGATCAGAGTGGCCGAGCTGCCGCACTGCTTGGGAACATAGCCAGTCCCATTTCTTGGGTGCAGCTGAAAGTGTCTGGACTGATAGAGGAGCTGGGCAGGGTGGGGTTGGAGTAGCCAGTGCAGGCTGGGCACAAGCATCAAATGTTGTCATCCACCTTGATGAATCAGCTGGAGGCACCAACAACTTTTCGTAGACTTGGTTCCAACCCTTGGTAACGCCGAGCCCCAAGCCATTAAGCTGCAGGTGTGACAATAAGCTGACAAAAAGTACTGGCTACAGCACCAGGATGAGGTGCAATGCACACAGAGGCTGCTGCTTTGCACAGCCTGGGACTGGGCACCCAGAAGAGCAGCATGACCCAGGGGGAGGTGGATTCAAGTGTGCGGGTGCAGCGACAGATGCAGGTGTGTGATCTGGGCAAAGTGAGAGGAAGAGAGGGAATACTAGGAGGACCTGACTGGAGGACCTGGCTCTTTGTCCTTCAGCTCAGACTCTGGATTCCCTCACTTCATCTCCACCCTCTTTCCTCTTGACAAAAGCTGGCTCTCTTCCTTAGAAGCTCCAAATCTGAGTGTGGGGAGGAAACATGGACACTGTTGTGAATGAAGTCACCTGTGAAGGGAACCAGGCCAGTGGGAAGTTCCTTTAATCCCTAGCCAGCAAACAACAACAAAACAAACAAAATGGTCAAATTCTACTGCCAAGTAATCCACGTGATCCTATTTTAAATAGGCTGCATCTTTGGTCTTGTAGGAGATGGAAGGGGTGACAGAACATTAGGCCCTCCAGGTTACATCAGGACTCTAGAAGGGGAGTCTCTGGGGGTAAAGGAGAGCTACTACCCCTTTATATCCATGCCAGCCCCCCAGCATGCCTTGGGTTTCCTTGCTGAGGTTCCTGTTGCCATCCCTTGGCCCTTGCGCTACCCCCTCCTGGTTGCCATCTGCCACACACCCTTTTCCCCTCCTTTTGTTTGCCTTAGTACAGCTAGAGTAGACTGACCTACATGGGCGTTTTGCCAAAAGCCAAAGGAAAATAAAAAGGAATTTATTATCAAAAGTACAAAATGAAAAAAAAAAAGTACAAAATGATTAAATACAGTGAGGTTTCCAGGATTCAGTTCTCTAACCATGCTGAGACGCTGTCCCTGTCAAACCAAAGAGAACCACCTGCCCAACCTCTCCTGCTTCCTGTTCCAAATGCTTCAGTTGTTTCTGATGACCTTTTGGGATCCCTTCTAGACTCGTCTCCAAGTCCTCATCTCTCCAAGATTCAGCAGCTGGTTTATAATGAGTTGGTGCATACTGACTGTGGGCCAGGTCCTCTGACAAGCATGACACACTGTGTCTCACTCAATCCTCTCAAATACCCTACAAGACCAGTGCTCTTAGGCACCAAGGAGGAAACGGCATTTGAAAAGCTAAATGAAGGTACAATTCCCAATGAGAAATATAATTGTGTTGTATACCTACAATGTACCAATAAAAGAATTTAATATAAAAAAAAAAAAAAAGAAAAGCTAAATGACTTGCTCAAGGCCCCACTGAAGGGAGATAAAAGGGGAGGATTTAAACTAGCACCTGGCCTGTTGCCACCCTTGAGGCTGTTTCTAAATTCCTGCCCAGCTGAACCATCCCTTTCCTCAAGAAACATGGATCTCCCAGTACTCCGGGAGGCTGAAGCAGGAGGATTTCAAGTTCAAGCCTAGGTCTGGCACTTTAGCAACTTAGCAAGACCAGTGCTTAAATTTTTTTTTTTTTTTTGGTACCAGGGATTGAACTCGGGACCTTGTGCTTGCAAGGCAGGCGCTGGAAACACTGAGCTAAATCCCCGGCCCAAGCGCTTAACATTTTTTAAAAAAGAGCTGGGGATGTGCAAAGGCTCTGAGTTCAATCCCTAGTACCACAAAAATAAGAAAATATAAACAAACAATTTAAACATAATGCACTATAAGCACTAGTCCACATTAAGCAAGATTAGTCTTATGCATCTTCCTTCAACAACTGAATCCCTTGCTTTCTACTTTTGGAGACAAGGCATTCTGCGTCCTCCGTCCCTTTCCTTGTCTTGTGAGCCAATGGAGTCTTCAGCGGGAAGGCCGCACACCTCCAAGCTGGGAGCCAGGGGAGAGCCCAGAGTTCTCTACAATGGGAGGAGGAAGGAAGTCTATTGGGGGACCCACACTTGCCCTTGGCAGACTGAGAATCTGTCATGTATAGGCAGCAGTCCTCACTGAGCACAGCCAAATACGGGTCTTTTCTGGGGAATGGAGAATGGTTGGGTGGACATGGGGTGTGGCTGGCAGATAGAATCTGGAACATGGCTGTAGGGAGAGTTCAGCAAAGGATGCTGGGACAGCGCACATGGGGTGACTCTAGTGTGCATTCTGGGTGTGACGGGGTGGAGGATGGAGTGAACTGCATTGAGGGTGTAGCTCATGGGTAGTGTCCTTGCCTGGCAGTGGTTTGATCTCAGCACTGCATAAAATTTTAAAAATAAAGAGGAAGGAACAGAAACAGACAGATGAGGAACAGGAGGGATGGCAGGACCCCTGCCAAGGACTTTCAAGCCTTGCTGAGTCAGTTTGTTCAGCTGTCTGGTGTCTGCATGCAGCTCAGCCGCCCTGACCACCTGGGAGGTCTGGAGCCAGGATCAGTGTGCCCTCCACCTAAAAAGAGCACAAACCTTCTTCCCACGAGTATCCTCCACCTGCTCCCTCCCCAAAAAGGCAGATGGATTGGTGGTCCAGTTCTTTATTTAGAAACCTGATTGTTGGAGAACGTGGCGATGCTTCTGCACCCCACCCTTTCAGCTGGGATTGTGTTGGAAGTGATGTGCAATGGTTTCCCATTTCCTCAGCAATAGAAGTGAAGGCTCCTCAGCTCAGAAGCACAGATTGTAGGGTCAGTGGGAACAGGGAAAGGGAGAAGGAAATCCAAGGCGATCCCAGGGAAGAGGGTAAAGTAACTCCAAACAGCCACAGGGCAGGGTGGGCAGCCTGCTTTCTTAGGGCCTACTAAACTACCCCACTTTCCCTGCCTGGCCCACACACAGGATCTTATTAAGTCTCTAGGAAAGGAGAAAGAGTCAACAAGTTAGGGGACACCAACAGGAAAAGCTGAGGAGGAAACGAAGGGCACACAGGGAGAGCCCAGGAGAGCAGAAGCCACAGGCCTGGGGAGGTCTGCAGGTGGCTCTAGCCAGCTGCAGCAGTGCTTACCCCAGGGCCCTCTACTCCCCAGAGTTGGGGCCGCAGAGGCCCACTGTTCTGTTGTTCTCTGGTGTTTTGCCTTCAGAGACCCGGAGGTGAGGTGAGGTGAGGAGGAGGCAGGGTCAGTCAGGAACATGTTGCAGTGGTATCTCAAAAGTCAAATTCGTCCAGGTCTCCAGTGCCCTCACCGTCTCGAGAGCCCCACACCCTGTGGTAATTGTTCTCCAGCTCTTTCTGCCGCTGGCGCTCTTTGTGGGCCTCTTCAGCTCCCTGCACCTGGTGGGAGGGTAGGGGTGAGCCAGAGTTCTGATGGGGACCAAGGGAAGTCCCAGACGCTTCAGGATCCAGGGAGGTGCTGGGACTGGGTTGGGGAAGGCAAGGATGGAGGACCCAGCCTCCTACGGAGCACTTGCTGAGTGGCAGCCCATGAGCTGACAGAACACTGGCCTTGCCTTGGCAAGATACTGAAGCTCAGCATGCAGCAAGGCTGGGATGAGCCCCTGGGACTCTGGGACTCTCAGCAGGCTCGGGCTGGGAGGGCTGGAGGTCCAGGACCGGGGTAGGGTGCCTCACCAAGATATTGAAGAAAATCTCTTTGAGGCTTTTTGTGTCCTCATCAGTCAGCCAACGTCCATCCTCCTCAGTCCCCTCAGCCCCAGGGCGGACAATTTTGATCTCAATCTTCCCTAGAAAGAAGCAGTATGGGTAGTGAGGAGGGGAATGTTGGGAGCCTCAGGCAGGTGCCCTGCCCCCCAGGTCCTCAGCTGAGGTTTCCAGTCCACTCTGACCCAGCCCCTCCACGTCAGTGGCAAGCCCTTCCAACAGCTCTAAGCCAGCCGCCCTCCAGGGCCCACCTTCGGCCGTGAGTCCCTCCCTCTCCAGCAGTTCTTTCACCAGCCCCTCGATTTGTTTCAGCTGTGGGTTTTCCCGTTTCATCTCGAGGACAGTCAGATCCTGATTGGGGCCTCTGTGATGGAGCTTGGTGACCCGGACCCGGACTCTGTGTTCAGGATCCTCCTCTTAGAGGGGGAGACACACAGGGAGACAAAGCAGAGCCGTGACTCCAGAGTTAGAGGCTGTGGCAGTCACCTCTCCCTAAGTCATCAGTTAGTTTGAGTGGCTCTTCCATCTCAACACATATGTGAACCGGAGCTTGAAATAAAAAAATGCCTCTGCCACTATTTGAAGCCTTTTACTGCATCCCACTCAGTAATTCTCATCACTTACAAGGAAATGGCTGTTTTCTGAAAGCAATAACTAGGTCACCTGCACCAACAAAGAAGTTTTAAGGAGTAGGTTGGAAAACTGGTTTGGTCCCCCATATGCTGTGACTTTAAAGACTTTTCAATGTTTATAGAAGATCTGAAACTGGAATGTTCCATTTGGAATCTCTGATCTCCACACCTGTAGAAGCCTGTGGAATGGACATAAAGGCATGCAAGAAGAAGGAGTAACTTCAAGTGTGTTCAGGCTGTTGGCTCAAGTGTGGCTGGCTACCCTCACAACTGGGTCCTCTCCCAGGGCAAAGTCCTAGCTGTTGATGGCTGCATCTGTCAGAGTTGTGGTTTCCAGCACTTAGGCTCATCACCATTTAGTCTATATCTATATGCCAGGCAGAGTGCCAGGCACTGGGCACAGAAAAACCAGAAATCACAACAGGCCCACTTGAAAAGCTGATTTCCAAAAGGACAACTAGGAGTGACCAACACAGGAAGGTTGGTGGTGGAAAGAAGGCCACAGTGAGAACAGGGTTCCTTCCAGGAGGCAGGAAGAGAATGCGCACTCTGGCAACAGAGAGAACACAGTGCCCTCTGGGAACAGCAACAGCTGAGGGATAAAGACAACTGACCCAGCTGTTCCTCCTCGTCTGACCTTACCTGCAGAGTGGGGCGATGGGAGACGCTTTCTGTGGACAGTCTTCTTCTTGTACTTTTTCACCAGCTCGGGACTCTGTTTTTCCTCCAGTCTTTTGATGAGTTTGTTGAGAGTGGATGTCAGAGCCAGCATTGCCCGGTTGCGCTCTGAATCTTTCTTCAGCCCATCTGAGTTCAGCTCCTTCTCTGTCTGGAATGCCCAGGTTGGGGTGGAGTCAAGGGTCTGGGCAGTTGAGGGCAGTGGTTCATACCTCATAGGCTAGTCAGTGTCTGGGTCTCATATAGCCAATCCCCTTTCCCCACAGCCCCTCGTCAAATTAGGTAAAAAACCACCACGCTGGTGTCCTGAGCTGTGCTAGGTCCTGCCTTTGTTCCGGTCCTACCCAGCAGGAGCAGGCAGCAGAACCTAGGGAGCCAGCACCATGCTCACCTCCCGGATGATGTTCTCCAGCTCCCGTTCCATGCCAGCCTTCACCTCGGAACGGAGTCGCTCTCGGTCTGATGGGAGCAGTATCCCTTCCAGCTCCTTCTCGAATTCTCCCAGTAACTGCCATTCATCTGCGTCTTCGTCTTCATCCTCATCATTGTCCTCTTCTTCCACCACACTCTGACGCTCTGCATCACTCTTTTCCTTCACCTCTGTCTCCCTGTGAGGGGCCTCTGCATCCTCATCTCCAGGCTGGTCCTGGACTGTGTTTGGTTTCCCCTGGCAGGGGTAGGGGAGAAGGAGACAGGCAATTTTGGGGTTTCATAACCACATATGGTGGGATGAAAACAGGGGCAGGGTGCGGAAGCAAGGGACCCAGAAAGAGTGGACAGTCAGTCCTGTTTGTCCCAGGTAGGTTCTTCAAATGCTCCCAGCCAGGAGGCAGTCCCACCCTTCCTTTGAACAGGGACCATACCTTCTTTGTTCCACCTTTCAGCTCCTCTATCAATCGAATCAAGTCTGCAGGACTCCGAATGACTTTGACCTGCACATTGTTCTGAAAATCTGA